GATTGATTGATTGATTGATTGAAAGATTTTGCTTCAATCATTTAAACATTTTAATTTATGTTTATTTTAATTCTACATGTTTCTGAGAGCTGACTTTGTCGGTAATGAGATAATGAGTGCCTTTTTCATATATTGTGTGTGCAACAAGTGCATGGGTGCATATACCTGCATATATATATATATATATACTCTTACTATGAGGAAATGGGTGCCCGATAGGGGCCATTATTAGAGATGCACTGTGTGCTTGATGAAGTGGTTATAAAGCACATTTATTGCTGTAGGGAATGACAGTCATAAAATATGATGGAAAATGGATACCTCTACAGTTTTGGCTTCATTCCATTGAACAGTCTTAAGCTATGATTATTAATTGAATTGTGAAGTGTTGATGGTTTATTAAATGTAATTTGGTGTGGGTTGTGTGACATTGCATGCTTTAAAAGGTAATAAATAAACCACATTTCCATTCCATATGAAGTGATTGGACACCCTCCCCCCCCCTCCCCCCAGTACCACACCTGATAGGTGCTATGAATTCTCTTCCCTCTTTAAAAAAATGTCATGGTATCTGTCAAGTTGCATACAAGTCAAAAGAAATTTTGTTTAATCAACTGTCAAACAAGAAGGATCCAACTTCCTGATTGAAGAATCATATTGCCAATACTTGTTGATGTTTGTGTTTGTGATGTATGTATTGTGACAACATGCAAAGAGTAAAATTCTTGGAAGAGTAACTTGGTTGGTATACGAAGGCAAAAAGGAAGTGTTCGAACTGACTGTGGGTACATTTACGTGACCAGTTGATTATATTGCTATGTGCACTTGGAGAGGGAGGGGGCAGATTTCCTTTAGACTTCAATAAATTAATACAGATGAGATTAAAGGCACCACATCATGCAGAAACCACAGAATTTTTTAAATGAGAATTGAGCTCTAGGTATTGATATTTGATTAAATGCAATTATATCCCTCAGAAACATGCTGTGTCTTTCACATGAAATATTGCAATCAACATAACTTTTCTCTCAATAAAACTATGGTCCAAAGCAGTCTTGATCAACATTAGCTGATTCTAGTCCTTGGATAGAAAATGGTACCAGCTGATTGGAAAAAAAACTGTGCATCCCTTTGAGAAACAATAGAGCAAAAACCTCCACAACCTGTTTTGCATGTGCAATGCAAGCAGGTGCATTAGAACGGTGACAGCAGGCACACATATTAAGTTCATATGTGGCATTTGATATTTTGCCATGGTGATAATATGAAGTGAACCTGTAGGCACTGGAAGTTAATATACACCTCGGTCTCTAAACTATACGCTGTTAGTTGCCACATGGGAGTTGACAATTAAACTGACGAGGAAGAGACTAAGATTTTGGATATTTGATCTCAGAAACACATTTTTTTCCAGAATAGTAAGCTTAGCATATTTTAGGTAGATGTAGAATCTGTTTTAGGAATCCATCAGTAGTTAATTATGGAAGTTTGTATTATTTATTGAATTTATCAGTGAATTTGAAACCAACTTAAACCAACAATCAATTACTATTTTAGTATACCAGTGAATTTGAAACAAGCTTGAATGAACAAGCAGCTAGTATACTAATGAATTTGAAACTAGCCTAAACAAACAAGCAGCTTAATTAGAAGTTGTTAATTAACAAAGGTCTATGGGAACAGGACTGAGATGTGCATAAGTTTTTTTTTTTTTTTTTTTAATTAAAACTGCCTTAGCATTAAACTAAGTGTTTGTAAAAGAACATGTTGCTTTTCCTGTAAAAATGATAATAATAATACACAGCTTGATATGTGCACTGCTGTGTGCAGTGATAAGGCAAGGTGTTAAGAAGTATTAAATGAAATCAAAATTTTATCTTCAGAAACCTCAAAACTAACTCACAATGGCAGACCAAGCCCACGCCGCAGTTGTGAAGTCAGCAGCCACGTTTGACCACAGTCAACTGAAGCATACTGAAACAGAAGAGAAGAACCCCTTGCCAACAAAAGAAGGTAACATCTGATAATTCTGTTAAATTCTGTTCATAATTGGATACAAATAATCGAGCATAATTTTTGTTGAGGTTATACATATAAAGTAAAATATTATATAACTTTTTTAAAGTCTCATGTTTATCATGTCAGAATTCTTTCATCTATTTCATACCGTATTCACAGGTTTCTTTCATCTATTTCATATTCACCTTCAGACTTCTTAATCATCATTAATAAAAGTGAAACATTTATTCATTCATTTAGTATTGTGTCTGATACAGTTTTTTCCAGTGTCTTATGTTCTTTAAAAGTGTCAAGAAAAGTATCCGGATTTACCCTGGACATCCCTTTTATGCCATTAATCTTGTATTCTTTTTCTGTGGCATTCCTATTCTTGTCGTGCTGACAAGTCACCACCCCCTAAAGTGTGAAAAAAAAAAAGAAGTATCCAAATAATATGAAAGCTTTCACTGTGTGTGTCAATATGCTACATATTTCTCTGAGGCATTTCACCGAGTGTCCTGCATTTTGGCACATGTGTGTGATGTTCGTGTGAAGCAGGTGTGCAGTGGCTCTTTAGAAAATTGAAAATACTTTCTCACTTTGCACACATGTCAACATGTAGGAAGTGCCTGACTGAGGAACTCGGGATATGTTTTTAAAACCTAGTTAATAGTGGCCAGAATCCACGGATTAAGAGGCAGGTGCCCATACTGTAGGTGTTTAATTAGCAGTCCATGTTCATTGTTGCAAAATAGGCATTCTATGTAGGGATTGGAAAATAAAGCAGTTGTTGTGACAATATGGTAAAAGATTGAAGTGCTGCAAACCTTGCAGTACATTTTAACACGTTTTTAGAAAGCACATTCAAAGCAATGCCAATATGTACTCTAGAATTTAAGGAAAATGTTGTACCTGCCATGCTAAAAACACTTCAGTAAAAATGATCAAATGGACAAGATTATTTTGTATTCATATGAAAAGCTTAATCCGATACCAGTAAGACAATGGGAATCAGTTCTTATTTTAGCATACACTTTGTGGAATTGGATTATGCAACTTCCTCCAACTGCTGAGGGGTAATGAATTTGAATTATTTAATTACTTACTACAACCAATGAAAAGACAACCAGGAAGTAATTAACTCAACCTAGGTGTCACCTCCAGTGACTCAAAATTCCATGCCAGATTTCAAAATTGGGTAAGTAGGAAGTGATACCACAAATGATCAAAATCAATAAACAATGAAATGACAAAACCCTATAGACATGTATGAACCATTCAGGTGATAAGAATTGACATTGGCGTAGATAATTTGCAGTAGTCCAATGGCAGATCTTCTATTTTTCAAAAAGCTTTTCATTGATATTTAAAAAATGTCCGTAGTTGTCTGTTGAAAACCACAAGGAATATCTTAACAATGCAGAATGCTATTCTGGTCAAAACATCCTTGTTGTTCAAATATTAAATCAGCATTTGTGCACATATAGACACAAACATTGTACATTTGGTGTATTTCAGTTTAGTGAATAGTCATGTTTGATTTAATGAATGGAACAAAAGTGAAAAAGAAAGTGAAAAATGCTGTTTTTATCCTCATTCAGAAAATGTAAGTCAGTGCTTAAAATTTTCCTTTTTGGTTGCAATTTTCTTGATTGGCAGAACATTACTTCCCTATTTATACTGATGTCAACTATCAAGGAATATTGTATGAACGATATTCCAAAGAGATATGTGCATTAGTGTCTGTCTGTGTATGAGAGCATTCACATCGAGAAGAGCCAAGGTCTAGCAAGGCCGAGACCTAAATATGGCGGACCTACATGAAAGGAAGACCACGCAATCCTTTGATAGTCTCTCAATGAATGTCAATGAATGTCAATGAGACACTATTAAAGGATTACGCGGTCTACCTTTCATGTAGATCTGCCATATTTAGGTCTCGGCCTTGCTAGACCTCGTCTCTTCTTGATGTGAATGGTCTCTATGAAGTATCTGTACACAATGGAGACTCTGAGGATATTGTAAATCCTTTATGGGCTTATATCTGTAGATTTGGGTGATCTGTGTTGTTTAATCAGGACAGATAAGTATCCAGTACACACAATGGATTGCTAAGTACAAAATGCATTGGATGAGATATATCAACAAATATTACATGAACCACAAGTAATTGTCATGGCAGTCTTGGTCAGTCTTGGTTCCATTTCTATGTTTAGTATGGAATCGGGTGTTAAAACCGGTTTTTGATTCCTTTACATCAAAATACACTGCTATATATCTTGTTTGAAAAAAACCTAACATGATTCTGCTGTCAATCCTTAAAGTAAATACCATCTTTGATGGTCATTGTTATGGTCATTGTCCTGTGTTGTCCAAAGGGCACTGTGATCAAGGATGTAGACACCATTTTAATTAAAACTGATTGGGTTGCACATTTAAGTAATACATTTCAAGTGTCAAGGATGTGTCTTGATTTATCGAGGGATAGTATGAGATCACACCACTATATGCTGATATTCCTTGAACTCAATTAAAAAGCTCAAACTGTTCACTGCATTGGTGGCTGTCAGATTTTGACATTTAATTTCTGTTTTCATTTCATGAACCCAAAAGCAGTTTCAAGCAATATGGAAATAAAAATGTCCTTTTAAAACCATTATCGCATTTTGTCTTTCTCTCATTTACTTAAGAAATATAGTGGCACAGTTCATAATTTATAGTTCTACCTGGGTACCTGACATAGCAGAGGTGCCAGTATATTTCTTTCTAACCTTTTTTCCCCATTAAGTAGCAATAAGGAATTAAATTTATTTTTAGATTTTTTTATATAATGGGCTTGGAGGCTGGGATTAACCAACATTTATTTCAGAAAAAAGAGTAAAGATAAGAATCAGAGGGATGTAAAGTTTTGACCTGAATCTGGTTTACAAGTGGTAAGCTATCATTTAAAACGGAGGTTTTTATCAGGAGTTGAAAAGGTCTGACAAAACATACTAGCAACTATTTACACAATCATTTAAACTAGGTAAATGCTCTTACATGCACCTTGATTTTATGTGGATTTGGTAATGATTTGGTGAGACATTTGTTTACTACAGGGTAGAGTGGCTTGTCTTAATAAGCAGTTACCCGAATTTGCTTTAAAAATGTCACTTGACACATTCTACTCATCAGCAGCTGAATCCTGATCAAACTTAAAAGCCCATTTAGGGACTGTCCCCGAAATTTTTAAAGGCTCTTAATGATATCACTTCTCAGAAACTGGCCCTTAACATTAAGATGTTTTGTTGAATGAAGTTAGCCAACAATGTTGTCCAACTTTTCCTATTCCACATGCGCAATTCATGTTATATAATCATTGATGAGATTTTCTGACAATTGGCATATTTCTGACATTTTGGGAGCCAAGAATAATATTCGAGATCGATGCAGCCCCCTCACCCCCCCCCTCCTGGACCCCACATCATATTTCCAAACTTTATCACTAAGTCTAAACTTTATCACTAAACTTTATCACTAAGTCTCATCCCTGCTGTATGTGATGAAGGACCCCATACCAAAGCTAAGGTGATCAGCTTAGTGAGGGTTCAGTTTTATGCATACAGCACAAATCATAAGTGCTATATTATGTGGTTTGACACCAATCTTGATATAGCGGTCACATTACACTATTAGTCATTGCAGCCACGTTATCTGGGCCAGGCATGAATACTGAGCCACTGTTTACAGTCTCTGCGTAGGTGTGTAGACAAAGCTGGAACATGCTCCATGCTTCAGCAGACCACTGTGCAGAAAACCTCCCTCTTCGCAGAAAGTGGTATGAACTTGATGGATATTTTCTCAGTGATTGAAGTCCTGCTGGGGAAAAAAATTGAAGTATTGCGGCCTCACTATTTTACTTTGACATATTTTGACTGTCAATATGTTTTTGGACATAAAAATCCTTTCTGTCGAGTCCACCTTTTTTAATGCATTGGTTTATGATCATTTTAGAAGCTAAACTATTGAATATTGTAGGTGGTTCTGTGTTTGACACAGTGCAGTACATTCAACTGAGAAAGATAAAATTGAGAAAAAAGCCTTAGAATTTGTATGAGCATTGAGATGCCTTTTCCTACATGTAGATATTATGTAAATAACACAAATAATACGGAATTCACACTTCAAGAAGACTCAAACACTGATGTTAAACTCAGGTTTTGCCTGCTGTTGCTTTAGAAAACCCCAGCTCATTTCAATAAGAACAGTGTTATATGCTTAATGAAAATAGGCAGTAGAAAATACCATGATAGGGGCACTTCTGAGGCTGGTATTTTGTCAGCCTTAGGTGGGTCAATTCATTGTGGCTTTGGGACATCCCATCTTGTTTAACCAAGGTGTCAAACATTTCATGCCTTGTGGTCATGAAAAAAAAAAAAAGGAACGCAATTGAAAAATACGTGTAAGTAGCTGGTATTCATACAGTTTTAGGTGGGTCACGACAATGGCTGGTGTTGCTTATGGCACACCTGTGACAAGAATACACTTGCAGAGTTCTACTTTGTTGGATTGGTTTTATGTATGGAAGAGTACTAGACTATACTGTGTTTAGCACGAGATGTTTGTGCATGCAGGTCTGAAAAATATGAGTGGAGTCATTGTATGGGGTCTTGCCAGTGCTAAAGTTACATTGAATTTGTCTGATGTCAATAAAAAAAGTAAAACAAAAATATATGTGGGAACAGAATTAGTGCAAACCATGAATATCTGATCAGTTTCTGATCATACTGTGTACAAGCATTTAACCAAAAAAAGATTTGACCCAATATTTCTTGATAAAAGTACCATAAACTATATATATATATATATATATATATATATATATATATATATATATTTGGAAAAGTTGGTCATTATGTCTCTTTAATTATGTAGTACGATTTTGTCACAAAATGTTTTGAGGTAAAAAGAACAGGATTTTTTTAAAACCAGTTCTTTTCGGCCCTCTGCACAGGGTCATTGTACTGGAAAAGATGGTTTTGAAGCTACATGAAAAACACCATGGATAGTGTTTAGTAAGTGGAAATAAAACTTTGAAAAGACACAGTGACGTGTTACGGAATTGTATTTAAAGTATATATACTCACTATAATGAGTGAGTCATCTAGGTATGGTGGCTGAGTTAATGCCATATTAAAATAATCATACCAGGAACTGTGACTGTTTAATGCATGCAGATGATTAAATGATAATTAAAAAAATATAGCCACCTCACTGCCATTGTCACTCTGGATATTTTTATACAAGGAGGATGATGGGTGATGTTTTCTCCATTAGCCAAGACTCAAACAGCTCATTAATTTTTTTTCGTTCAGGGTGGAGTTCATAGATGTCAGCTTAATCATTCTACCATTAAGATTAAACACTAATAAATCCAAGCCATAACCATATTATAACATTGTGTTTTATTGCTACAGGTAATGCTCTCTTTGTGTGTGTTAATGTTGCATAAAAATGTCATGTTCTCATGTTTTAATTAAAATGTAATATTTTGATACTTCAGGTTCAATTAAAAATGAGTTTGACTAAAATCCATCTAACAAGATGACATATATGTTTTTGTCCAAATGGTAGGTCAGAGAATTAAAAACTACAATGTTTTGACTCATTTATGTCTAAAGATTGAGCTCAAAAGAAATTCACCCTAATGAGCATATCAGCTTCATATCATATGTTCAAGATTAACATAAAATTTTGGACAAATTATGCAGGTTATTACCAATTAACCCCTAGTTTGGTCAATTTACATGTAATAGTATATATATTTAACTAGATGAAGGCATTGATGCATATTTTCAAAGATGAAAAATAATTTTTTTTATGAAATATCTATAAGATTTATTTATAAAGATGCTGTAATTGTCTAGACAATTTTTGTATTAACCGAAGGCCCCCTGTCTCCCCCCCCCTCTCCTCTCTTTCTCTTAGTCACTTGGAAGTGACACACATTTTTCTTTGACACACTGACCACATATCTATTATTACTTAATCCAAAGTGATATAAAAGGCATCATAAAGATGATAAATTGGCTATATTCTTATCAGTTGTAATTTACTCTACATGGTCATGATAATCTTACACCCACATTTAGAGATTGAAACTCTTCCTGCAGTCCTTATAACTAGTGACTAATGGACAACTATTGCAAAACCAGACTGTGGTAATTAATGCAGAATTAATTCTGCCATTTACCTTTGGCTGCATTTGCAACCAGCTTGATTGCACTATTTTTGCTGTTGCTTTTGCCAGATCGATACAGTTTTCTGCCAGTCTATGGAGTAATTATGATCATTACTTCAGATGACTTATAAAATATTAAAGATCATGGCCCTTCCAATGGGGAAAAACTGACCAAAGGCGTGGTCAAGACAGTCTGCTAAATTCTTGGTGATGCACGGCACCACTAGTTAACATATTGGCTGCATGACTGAAAGCATATCTAGTTTTTGATTGCTATGAATTAGTGATGATATTAACCACCAGTGAAAATATCCAAAAATGACCCCAAGCATGTCCAGGTATGGGGTTAATGATGATTACAAGGGTCAGGAAAGTGCCAAAGGAAAAAGAAAATAGAAATGAGAAGTGCAGCTTCCACCAGAATAGGTTTGATAAAAATGATTTTATGTTCACACCAACTCTTGGGCCTCTATTGCTGAATGCTACATTAAAGTCTAACAGAGGTATAACAGTTTGTGTACAGGAGAAGGTTAGGGAAATCCTCTTTCTTAAAATATGAACTTCAGGATCTTTAAAAAGATCAAAACAGAAACCGTTTTTCTGAAAACCTTTTGGTACTGGGCTTATTATGATGACCAAAAAGTGTCTGGAGACCTGAAATGCCCCTTGAAAAATCTTGACCATGCAATCGCTGTGCTGAAGGAAAAGCACAGACTTTGCATATATCTCTTGTTTCTTTGTTATTTTATGCCCACAGTCCAGTTAACTTGGTTTGAAATTATTATGGAGGATCAGTCATGTGTGGGACCCATTTGGTCACCTGTCAAAGAATATGCAGTTGAATAAATGTTATGAAGTATACACAACAAACAAGGTTCGTGACTGTTTAGGCAAGTCAGTAGCTTTTCCAGACCAGAGAACAAAACCTTTTCCGGACATTAAAAAAATTTTCTTGTATTTTCACTGATACTGGTGGGATTTTGATAACAGAGACTTCCTGGTTGAAAACAGGAATGTTCATACTTCTGGAATTGTTTTCTTTCCTCTATTTTTGCAGCTTGTCAAAACAGTCTGGAAGTTACCTAATCTTTTCATTCTACTGAAAACCAGATGACAGAAGAGTGTTTTTGAATTAAGTACTCTTGAATTTAGTGACTGAGAAAATTTTTATTATTATAATATTTTTTAAATTCTTAACCAACTATGGTGTAGGGAAGTCTGGTACTTGCCCATCTCCTGAAAATTACCCCCATATTTCTAGTATCTGTTTTCATGTACATTAACATGCTTTCTTTGTGTATTTCTATGTATTTTAGGAGAAACTTTCAAAGTATTTCTCTGTTGTGGTTTAGCTTTTGTCTCAGTAGACTCAAATGTAATCATTGGAAGATGCATATATAATACTTGTATATAATGTATGTGGACAACAATATCAGGGAATATTGAGACATTAACATTTGTTCAGATATATGTTATCTCTTTGCATGCCTAATGGGTTTTATTTTTTGTTGGTAATTGTCATGTGATGTTCAGTGTTAATCCTGTTTTTTTGTCATCTAACAACATTTGCAGTAAATGTTTGTATTTTTGCCAATGTATGTCACCGTTACTGTTACTGTTCCACTTGCATGTCTTAATTTAATATTTAAGCTTTGTTGAAATGTGTTTTGTTTGTGGTTAGTAACTGTCACTGCTTTATTCACCTCGTGTGAGTAGATGTAAAAGAAGAGAAGAAAAGACAAAGCTTGCTAGATGAGGTGGCAAACTTCCAGTCCGAGAACTTGTCTCCGACTCAGACCAAGGAGAGGGTTGTCCTTCCAGACTCCATCAGTAAGTCCACCCACAGTCACTAGTGGTCACTCACATGGTGTGGTCAAGAATTGCAGTGGCTTGTGTATTAATGCCTGGGTCTGCTTATGTACTAGCATTTTCACCATCTGTACTGCTTGACTTGTGGCACTAATACGAGGACTTACATAAACTGTACAACACAAATGTTCTTTGATGTATAAAATCATTTAATGCAAACTTCAGTAGATTTTTTTATTCACAAGGTAAACAATCTCAAGTATATTAGTGGTTGTGTTCAATAATGTTCTTTTGCGTGTATCACTGGTGCATGAACTGGCACCAGATGTATGTGCAAGCACGCATATGTACACATACATGTGTGCAATTGCATGAGCATGACAAATTGTTTTCGGAGACTAGATGCCTTGGGATTGTTTATCTGATATAGGCATACAGCAAAATATTCAAATAAAATACATAAAGGCATATAATAAACTTCTTTAGATGTAGCTAATACAACTTCTGAATTTCTAGACTGAGGGAATGGTTAAAGGTTGCAATTCTTAATGCCATATATTAACTTCAATTTGCATCTGAATGTTCTCTTTATAAGTCGCATAATAGTGATTTATTGTTCTTCTGTGGCTTGGTCTGAAGCTATAATTCTAAATCAGAATGCCGTTATATTTGTTTATGCAGTGCTGTGATATCTTCTAGAGTATAATATCCTTTTGGTGTATATTTGTTCCCTTGCAAGCTCTGTATTCTTGGTATTTGACCAGTCTGTGTCATCTTTCTGAAGGTGTCTGATTTTATTATTAACGATGTCTTTGAGCGCATTCTCAACGAATTAAGCCAGGCTTTACAAAGCCGGTGACCTAAAAATGGCGGACGTACATGAAAGAAAAACCGCCTAATCTTTTAATAGTCTCTCCGCCTCCCCACACGTCGTCCCTGCGGGGTACAGTAATTAAATCTCGGCTCCGTTCGCCATGCGGAAGCTACCTGAGAAATATTAAGTGCGCANGAGGCTCTTCCCTTCAAGCTTAAATATGTGCTTACTGTTGCACACAAACAATAAGCAGTATAAGCTATGGACTGCAAAACCTGAACACTCTGTAGCAAATGGCTTTATCAAAGTTTAGAGTAACATGGGTAAAGAAGTAGTTTTTAAATTCATTTAGGTAATGAGGTTGATTCTGTATATTTATATAGATGAACAGGTAAGTAACCCACTAATAAATGGATGGTGGGTTAAAAATAAGATGATAAGATTTGAACTGATTTTGAGGCAAATGATATTGTCTGATGTAGCGTGTTTAATTTGAGATATCAGAGACAATTTGAAGTTATCAGCAGCCATTTTAGGACAATGCTGATACAAACATAATGAAACCAAGTTATAAATATTAATACTGTTGAATTATCATGCCCCAGGATTTGTTAGATTTTAAATGGTAGCTTCTCTTTGGTAGTTTGTGATTCTTTGTTTTTGTTTTCATTTTGTTTATTTATTTATTAGCGTAGCCTATAATTGTGTACATTTTTAATTTTTGCATTTTCTTGAATTTTTGTTCATTGCAATACTGTCTCATAGAATGCGTACACCCATTTTCATACCATATGTGTCATACTCATCCCCACAGAACATATTTCTCTACATTATCTCAGCTCTCTCTCCAATTTATCTGAAAGTTACTTTGATACAGACCAATAAAAGATATACCATTTGTCATCATGGGAATGTGAAAGTGTCATTTTTGACATGTTATGTGTAACTTGCACTGACATGTCACTGACATCCATGTCTGGTATGTATGACATTTTCATCTCTGTCATGCCACAGCTATTATGTTCTGCAGGGTTAACGATATCCAGGTATTAAATGTCTCCTACTCTTAAGAAGAGACAAACTTCTCACCCCTTTAAATGCACTCTGTTACCCATGGGCCAACTGGACATAGTTGAGCCATAAATGCTGAACAAAATGCGTGTTTGAGATGGGTTTCAAGTTTGATAAAAGAATGAAAACGGATTTTAGGGAGGCAGGTGCACTGCCTTGCCGTCTTGTCAGTGGTGTGGAGACCCTTCATACTTTACTTACTGTGACATGGAATGTTTGCTGTGTGGCCCCATTGTTATATTTGATAATAACTGCACTGAAAAGTGTTCTGTGTGTGTATGTGTGTGTGTGTCTGTGTTGACACTGTCTATATATATATTATATTTAAATCTTTCTTACTCTGTATATACGAGCATGCATGAGGCAGTTGACTACTAGGACAAAGACGGTGTTCAGTTTGATCATGTGAAATAGCTGCTATGATGGTGTCAACATCATTTTGCTTGAGTCCATCCTTGGACTTTCTTTTTAGCTTTCATGAAATAAGTGATTGATTTTTTTTAATGTTCAACAAAATTCCATTACCTCAGCATGAGATTTAGAACATTTATTAAAAAAGAAAACATTGCATTAATGACATAGAAATACAGCTATTGGTCATGTATTATATATAGCTAATTCCCCTCCATGACAATTTTTTCTGTCCACAGCCCTTTCAACTTCCCATATCCAATTATTAATAGGAAGAAAATTGACGTAATTACCATGTCTCTTTTTTAAGCCATATTGGCTGGGATCAGCTTGACAACTTGACAGTTGTATGGAGGGGGGGTCTGTAAATTTCCCCGTACTGAACACCGTTTTTGTTGTCGTGGGTGATTGTATTAGCAGCACAGTTTGCATGTTGTGGTAGATATGTAACTTTCTGAAACTTAACATTTTGACGTGTATGGCGTGCAGTGCAATCGTAATCCACTTGCTGAACTCCCTGAATGCAATTTCCGGTAGAATAGTTCTTGTAGATTATTGATTGAATTTTCACCAAGTGTAAGTCTAGACCAATTATCAGTAATTGAACATTTGCATTTGTCTTGATTTAATGACCAGAAGTAATGAGAAAATTGTCAGCAGTGAGATAACCAATATTTTCTATTATTTTTTCTCTGGAGTGAAAAATTCTTACTTTTTGTTTAATTTACATTTACATTTGAGAAAAATTATGATTTTTGCAATGAACTATTTTCTTAAAAATTTAATTGTCTTTTAAATGATAATTCCCTTGAATGATAATCACACTGTAGTTTAACGAAATTGCACTGGGATGCATGGGGCGCTTATTACAATTGCTTACGCCTGAAGCTTAGAATGTGTTTGTCTGACATCTGACTGTAGCGCTAAAACAGGCCAAACAGCACCAGACCTTTATCCAGAGTGTGGAAGGACACAGCAAGAATAACCTGCGCCATGCTGAAACCCTGGAGAAAAATTCCCTGCCCGATCCTACCAGTAAGTATCCCAGCATGCTTTGCATGGTAACCCCTCATCACATGTTCGTATAACTGAATGGCGTTGTCACAAACAGTCGAGTGTATTGTACTTAAATTTTGTGGGTGGTGTTGTGAGTTTTCAGATTTGAAGCCGTCATTCAGATTTGACTACAGATTGTGTATTTGGGCTAGATGTCAAATCTTAACTTTGGTATGAATTTGAGATCCAAACCATACATGTTTCCGAAAATAATTTTCAATTTATGTGAACCTGGTCTGGTTCATTATCTGTCTAGAAAAAAATTCAGAAAATCCCCGCACTATTATTGCCTTGTCTCGACATGTATCTGGTTTGTTTTCTTTTAATCGAATTGGTTATTTAGAAAGCAAAGCATCGTGTTGATTGCATTTCTTTGACGAAAAAAAAATGTGATGAGGGGTGGCCAGTGTTATATCGCCCTTAGAGGTTCTTTATGAAGATATTTGCATGAAGGTCTGAACAAAGGCATGTCTGACATAACATTGCTTATTCCTTGGCAACTGTCGTCACCTCTGCAATCTGCATTATACATTAACTGAAAAGTAAAACTCTTCCGTGATTTTTATGCACGTCTTATGTGCATTGTCTTCCAAGCCAAAGGAAATTGTTGTCATTGTACGAGTTTTCACTTTTTCAATTGTCAGTGATGCCTTATCAGGATGTGTTGCTTGCTGGCTTGCTGGCTTGCTTGCTATGTTTACCTTTAGATGTTATTTGTTTTATCTACGTCTAGCTTTCGTTCAATTTTGCACAAGAAGTTTTTTAATGTGAATGTGCCACCGGAGCTGCTTTTATGAATTCTGTTGGTGTTGTGAGAACTATGATATTCATGCTTTTCAGGCTCACTTTGGTTCAGTTCTATGCATTTTGTTGCATAATTTATTGAATAATACATCACAGCTTTAAATGGAGTATAAACTGGTGGAATAGTTGGATGAATGAGGTTAAACATCTGAACACATATTACCAAGAGTTTCCCAGGCAATCACCATAATAATATAACTTCACTATTTATACAGATGCAGGCCTCATCAATATTGTATATAAAACCATAATATGAAACCCAACCAGAGCAGAGTGTACTTATGTAAGCAATTGCTATTATTTAAAGAAAGTAATTTTAAACAATGGCCATTATCTTTTTAATTTAGAAAAGTGCTGTTTGCAACGTTCAGGTCAACAATAAACAAAAAGTAATGATAATAATATTATAATGATATATGCCATTGCCAAAGGGAAAAAACTGGAAACTGGGACCTTTCATATTCACTTCAGCCAAAATTATTTTCCATTATTTCACATAGTTATTTATTCTGTCTGTTAAACATGCTACTTGTTCACTGCACGTTCCTAAAAACACGAAGGCGTAACTAGCTATTGCCAGACATGCACTGGAAGCAAGTCAGAGATGAAAAGAATATTTGCCAAACATGCCATGCCATTCTGTCAGTTCTGCCATGACATAAATTGAGATTGTTCTGAACAACATATTTGAGATGAAAATTGCCCAATTTGCTAAATTGTTTCACAAAAACTGTTATTGTAAATAGCTGCTGGAAACATGAAGAAAGTGGAAAAGAAATGGCTATTTTTGGCTATCTTTTAGATTATCATGAAATATTATGCCTTTTGATGGTTAAGTTTTTAACAATTTCCCTGAACAATAGTACATGATGCTGCATGCAAATAAGACAAAGCCATCATTTGCAAATTAACCAAGGACTCAAACAAAGGCATATTCAGTTCATTTTTTTGGTAATAGGAACTAATAAAGTAACTCAATTTCTTCAACATGGATATGAGGCATGAAGGTAGCAATGACATTTAAAACACTTCAACCATCACAGCTTTCTTCTATCAGCATTGACAATAAGCTGCAACATGTCAAATATGCAACAACATGTCCATTTTTTCTGCTTCCTGGCAAATTTGAGAAAATGATAGAATTGTTTTCATTTTGGTAAGTTGCATAAAAAAAGAACCAGACTTTAATTCTCACTTTTATCCTCAGTCAATCAAATACAAAGCAGAACATCCCCCAGCAATAAAATAATTAAAAAATATATATGAAAGTATAATGAAGGAGGAGTCACGGGAATTGAAATCAACATGAGTGGAGAATGAAGGAAATTTAACTTCCCACCCAGGGGCGTAACCAGGCATACGCACGGATGCACTGTGCGTACAATTTTTTGAGCCAACCATGATATTATTCTCCATAAATTCAGTGTAATTTTCACGGAATATAATTGTACCTGGGAATTTTCAAAATCTGTGCGTACAATTTTAAAAGGTCTGGTTACGCCCCTGCCACCTACACAAAAATGATGTCAATATTCACATTTGATCTCTTGTCATCTCTGCCAAACTACTTTTCCCCAAGGTAACATTTCAAACCCTTGCCAATCTCTTCAGCCTATTTGGCAGAGATTGAAGTGGTTCATCTGGCAGAATTGGAGGCATTTCCATGTTTGGAACTACTTAAGCTTGTTCACCACAGGGAAGACTGCCTTCAAGCAGTGGAAAGTGTTAACCACTTCAATCATGTTTATTAGGAAGGTCAGTGAAGCTCTCTATAAGGCTGGCCACATAGCTGCAGTAATTCTTCATCTAGGAGTCTGGATGGACCCAGCCATGACATGGGGATTGAAGTGTTCCAGACACTGGGACCGGCATGATCTCCAGACAGAAAAAGCCAAAGTTGAAGCCTTTCTGAAACAATGATAGCATGAATTATTCTGTGTTTCTTAAAATAAACATTTAGTTGTGTTGTTATTTAAATTGTTGTTGTTCTTTTTCTTCTTCTGCTGTTTGCTGCTGTATGTATTATAGTTTTGATCTTTACTATCAATTCTTCTTAGTAACTTGTCTCTTGTTCTCTTACTAACTCTACATGTATATAGATCGTATTATGAGAATTATTGTACTATGTACACATTTTTGATAAATGTTTCCTAATCCTAAAGCCAATTTTTTCTGTGATTTTATATATCCCCCCCCCCCACACACACACACACACACACACACACACACACCTTGTCTTTTTCTTAATGAATTGAGAACAGGTATTCTAAACTGGCTTTGCTGCTGATTCTGCGAAGTGTCCCATAATTTGATACAGCAGTCTTAGATTTCTGTTTCTACTTTCTCTCCCATCTGAGGTATTAAGTAGGATCCTTTTGGACTTTCCATTAATAAAACTATCATGATTGATGTGATGTGTTTAAACATTGGTTCAATTCATTACTTTATGCAGAAACCTTCGCGAGTATGTATTGGAGAAGCTGTCAATTCTTGTACGAGTTTTGTTGGAACCTGCTATGGAACTTACTCACTGAGGCATGTGTGACACATTAGGACATGCAAAATAAAGAACTGAAGCATCCTGTATTATCTTTTATTTTCTGGTTACTTCCCCAGGCATTGAGGCAGAGAAGAAGGAAGTAGAACTGAGGCAGGGCATTGAGAGCTTCAACAGAGAGTCCATGCACCACACTGAGACTGAAGTGAAGAACCCCTTGCCAGATCCTGATGGTATGATTGTTTTCGGGACCTTTCCCAGACCCTATCATATTAACTGTGGATCGATCTATCTCCAAGGGGATTGTAGCTAAATAGCAATCAATTTAAGCGGCTTAGGTGTCTGTCACACCTACTGCTAGGGGGTAATTAATTATCATTTAGCACCTTCAGTAGGCATGCAAGACATCTAAGCCGCTTAAGTTGATTGCAATTCAGCAAGAAAACCCCTTGCAGATAGATCGATCTAGGTATGGGAACCCAGTCTTTATTGTCTTTCTGTTATGTCTGGTAATTATTTATTAATTACAGGTCTATTCCAATCTTCATTTTTGTAAGAATCCATTGTTAAAAATGGAAAGAAAAAAGTTTCATATGTAAACATAATTTACCTTTTAGAACTTTTTTATAATCTTTTTGATATTTTTACTGACAAAAGATTACTTATGGGAAAATAATTTTGTTAGTAATAAAAAAAACATTACACTGTTTTACAATAATACATTTTAAAATAAACTGAATTGTGTATGAAACAACTGCATATATATTACAGGTAACGTAGGGACATGAATTATTTTTAAAAAGTCACCTATTTAGTTTTTAATGACTGGATGAAAAAGTCAACAGCCATTGGTCTATTTCAACTGTTAAAAGTTAATCCAATGAGTTAAAATACAGTGCATTATATTTTTTAAGTGGGTGTATTTATTAGAATTTCATAACAAAATACAATGCATCATATTCATCGAGTCTTAATTGGCTTATAAATCCATGTTAACAGCCATCGCCACTGAGAAGCGTGAAAGCGAATTGCGATCTGGCATAGAACAGTTCTCCAAGGACACACTCAGCCACACCGACACTGTGGAGAAGAACCCATTGCCAGATAAAGATAGTAAGTACATCAGTTTTGTATTATTGTTTATTCTTATTCTTCTGCATTTATTAATTGTTTTAGTTTTAAATAAATAACTGTTGGGTATTGGTTTATCACCTTTGATGTTCGGGAAAGGAGTAAGTAAAAAACCAGGACACTTTATTAAATACTTGAAAATGACATCACCTATGGTCCTTTGGATGTAAACCAAAGTTGCAATATTATATTTGAGTTCATTTCTTCAGTATTCAGTTTTGTATTTTGACCTGAATAAAAGGTGTTTGTCATTGTGCCTCATAAATTCAGTGTACAAGTATATAATAACCATAAAATGTTCAGGTGTAGCTTTGAAATTTTTGTTTGTGAATTATAGTCTGACTGGTTTTACAAGTGAAACCCCTTTTACTGTTTTATTTTTGTAGCTTCTGTAAATGTCTAATATAAGCTTAGCCTTGGTTTCTTTTTGGAATGCTTCAGAGCCTATTTGAGCTTTGACAGCTATTTCGCTTGCTTTTTCACAGAGAGGCTTTTCTACATACGTGTCTTCCAAGACACTTAGTTAAGATAATACAGAAGATAGGTCCCTTAATGACCAGCGTTAAAAAATCCCCCTATAAATACTTTGTTTTGGCCATTTTCACTTCAATCAAACATCAGGAAATAGTAATTTGATTACTTTTACAGTATGAAATGTGTCTGTGGGCGTAAGTGCTGCAGGCTTTATTACAGGAGAAGGAAAACTGCAGTATATGGTCTTTTCAGGCTCTGTAATGATAAATAATTATTCACTCTGTTCTGAAATTGGTCAGATCAGATAACTGAATATGATCAGATCAGATAATAGAATTGTTTGATACCCTGATATCCTTACATTATTTCTTTCGCTAAATCTGTACTGTTATGAAAAGGGATATTGCTTTTAGTAATGGGAGAGATCCATTCTCTTGGCCATATTTGAAGTATCACTTTGAGTGATTTTTTTTTTCTGAAGTAAAACAATGCATGGTAATGTGGAGTAGGAATCCTCGTTATGATCAAAACATATTTGTTTTGTCATTAACCTGGATATGGGATAATATATATCCCACTGTATGATTGATGTAACCACCTCCACCTACGCACCCACCCACCACTTCTGTAGCACTATTACAAATGCATCCTAGGACATCCCAGAATTGATTGCTACAGTAGATCCAGATAATAAGGCTTGATGATAGCAGTCGCAGAGTAGGAATAATTCGTTCTCTGAAGTGATTTATATAATGGATTTAGAAACGGAATTGAACATTAGGGCTAATTTATGACAAAAGTTTAGTGTTTCATGAAATCAAGAAGTACTGTGTCCACTGTAGCAGAATGCTCTGTAACAAGGCAATTTATGTGTATTCAAATCTGTACTAGTACCCATAGCATAGCACACGTAGTTTTATTGTTTAAATGTAGATACCCAGGATATTAGATTGATATGACCTTTGCCGAGACAGACTGGAGATGGGATCTGATATCTGCTTGTTACCAATACCCTTAATTCTTAACTCTGCTCTCCAGAATAGTCACTGAGATGCATATTTTCAAATTCCTTATCCGCCCTATTTTTATCCGTGTGTGTATCCGTCTGTCTATCGGTCTGTCCATGTCCCTGAATCTGAAGTACATTCCAGAGGATGTTTGTGGCATTTTCCAACTCTAATTGTTGCTATCTAGCAATATTTGTTACCAAATGATTTGATGTGTAGTATATATACATCATCAATAGATGTAAATTGTGATTAACATTAATATCAAGGAAAACACCAGTCTGTAGCAGACATATTGAAATTCTGTTTCTGGCAGGTTTGAATCAATGCTTTATGGATGTGGCAACCAGGCCTATTTTGTGTAAAAAAAAAAAAAACATTTTTATTTGCAACATTGAAAGGAGCAGAAACAAAACAACCCTGGAACTTGAATAATTTCTTGCATCTTGTGTACTAATCTGGAGAGCTAGTTTCTTCTAACGGTGCTCTCCTTAACTACTTAACATGCTCACTAACTCTGTTTCCTTTAGCTCTGAAATCTGAAAAGCAGCATCAGGGCTTGATCGATGAGGTTGAGCATTTCAGCAAACAAGGATTGCATCACACTGATGCTAACGTCAAGAATCCTCTGCCTGATGCCGAAGGTAAACAAGGCACCAAGATGCGGTTGGCTTGCTGTGTGCAATGACTACATTCGCCCTTTGTTTTACCCTTATTGTTGATGATTTGTAGATTAATTTCATGCTGATTGTAGTATTTGCTGTTATTTGTCATTATTGTTTTCATGATTCTTTATCTTTGTGTGTGTTGTGTTATGTATGATTATACAAAGCTTAAGAATTTTGATTTGCTTTATTTTTAGTTATTAATTATTGATTATTTTTATTATTAATCTTATTACTAACAAAAAAGAGCATGTTTTCTTAAATCGTAGTTCAGTGTCTAAAAACTATGTTCTTTATTATTTGGTCTGAGTCAGTATATTTTATTTGTTTGATTATTTTCAAACTTAATTTCATGATTATACATGTGATTGTTTGTAATAGATATGTTGATTGGTTTAAAGATATGACTTTAAAGCTATCAAAACATAGTTTCTCACAATGTACTGTAAGACTACATTGTATGTTTATTACTTCAAAAATAAGTTGAAGCTCTGCGGTATTTTCTAAAACCTACTAAACCACAAAATGAAAACAGCAATTAATGTTGATCAATTATGCTTTCTCCTTTGGCGTTTTGATGTGCTCACTGAAAATAAAATTTGAATAGCAATAAGAATGATTTTTTCTAATCATCTAAATGGTACACAGCTGGTTTTGACTATTTGATAAAATCATTAGCACATAATTTTTGCTGTTGTTTCCTAATTGTTGGAATGCTGCATTGATAACGCTTGCAAGGTTTATCCATGAATTTTATGGATACTAATAGTTTAAACTTTCAGAGAAATTGTGTATATGTATTTAAAACATGGTTTCAGCATTTCTTTTATATATATATATATATATATGTGGTTTGAGATATGTTTGTGTAATTGTCTTGAAGTTCAAAATTGTCAGTCTTTCAAAATTTGTTTAGATATTCTACTGAGGAAAAAGATGGATATTTCACTTGGTATATTAATGAATTTTTATTAATATTGAAGCATTAAATTTTTTATGACTCTTTGTTTTCTTCTTTTTAGCCATTCAGAAGGAGAAGGTAGAACGTCAGCGTCTTTCATCTATCGAGACTTTTGATAAGTCCAACCTCCAGCACGCCGAGACTGCCGAGAAAAACCCTCTGCCAGATCAAAAAAGTGAGCATAATTGTCTGAAAGTGAAACTTCCTCTCTCAGGCTTTTTTAAATTGTCTTTTGACTGTGAAAATGGTACTTGGTTTTTGCAGTTTACCATATATTAATCCAAGAATTTTAGCTATATAATCACAATTGATACTGTTAAACATTGTGGAGCAAAAGCAATGCATCCAAGAACAATTTAACAATTTATCTTCAGTGGATTAGAGAGCACAGTCAAGGAAAATGTCACTTTTTTTTTTACAATAAAATAAATATTAATTTATCTTCATTTAATGTTGGGAAAGAGCATTTTGTTATATTGTTATCAGCTTTCATTTTGTATGATAAAGAAATTATTAAATGTGAAACTCTTCTTTCAGCTATTGAAGCCGAGAAGGCAGCCTCCTAGACATCCAGTGAAAGGAGACTAAACAGCGTCCTGTGCCTGGAAACTCTAAAAGGACATTGTGACATTATAACTATATGACTACAAGAAAGCAGGGAGGCTTAAAAAAAAAAAAAGAGCTCTTTCTTCACTTAATAAACACATGGATGGTTTTACATTAGAGGAGATTTCAAGATTTTGACTGTGAAAATCAACTGGCAGGTTTTTCAACTGCGTATGGTGAAAATACTGTTGGTTTCTTTTACCTTCATTTGAGATTGCAACAAGCAAGGTATTGCCATTAAGTAGGAAATCTATGAAATCTAAAAAAAAAACTGATAATCTTTTCGAATTGTTTACCTGCTATCCAAAGATGAAACTGATCAACTGTTAAAGGTATTTTTCAATTTGTAATCCTTTCATTCTGTGGTATTTAGATTAACTACAAACTATGCAGGTTCTACTATAGTGTGATGTTGATTTTGCAGATTTTACTGAAAAAAAAAAGAGTGTAAAATAAGATCTTTTCTATATTTGCCGTTCCCATTGTTGCTGTACAAAAATTGAGGTTTGTTTGCTTTGGTTGTTCAGTTTATTATGTAGCACAAATGTTATGTTCAACTATTTTTTGGGGGGTCATTAAATCCAGAAGCCATGGACTCCACATTCTAAGGTGAAATTTGTTCAAATTGAGAACAGCTCCTAGGCATTCCTGTCCATGATTACATTGTTAAAAGAAAGGTATTAGAAGCCAAAATGTGATAAATTTGTGAATTTGAAACCAAAGCTAAATTTCATACTTTTATACCTCCCTAATGAAACGCTTGAACTATGCCAAATGTGAAATGACTGCAAGACCACAACAGTCACTCAATCAATGCTGTTTTGGCCAGCATTGTCCATGCACATGGTCAGTATTTAAAGGACAGTGGGCATTGGTCATTCCTTGGGTCAGTTTGAGCCAGGTGCAGATTAGTGGACAGTCTCCCTGCTTCCGTTCTTTTATGATGTATTTGGCTACTACATATAACCCACTTATTGATAATCATTTATGAAAAGTTAAGAAAAAAATTATACATGTATCTGTATAAAACTTAGGTTTTGTATGCCATTAATATAGGTGCTTGGTGAGGTCTATTATGGTATAATAATGCATGCTGTAGAAATATTGTAATCTTAGCTTAAATTTGTTACTGAATTGTTTGTTACTTATTCAGTCTGTTAGCATTCACAGGAATTCCATACACTTCTCGATGCCATTCCAAAAAGTAAGCAGACATGATAATACCATTCCAGGCCCACATAGTTGTATATGACAATAACAAGGGAACATAATTGCAGAATTCCAGTCATCAATTGGTTTATATTGTTGGTCTTTTAGATGTTGTTGTTGAAAAGTGGTATTCCTATTTTTGCCATGAGGATTGAATACATTTTGGTTGGTTGAAAGTTGTTTGGTGCTAATGGTACAGCATGATGATATAGGTTTAAAAATTGCTTACCACATTTTTTGTCTTTTGTCCATTTTTGCTCTTGTAACTGATGGTGTAATTGAGATATTGTTTTGATTTTCAGAAGATGTTTCTTATTATTGAAGTTGATCTTTTCCTCATTAAAATTTACACCTTTGTAAATTTTTAATTTTCAAGATGTCTGAAATTTTGATACCCACTGATGATGCCATATGGCATCCAGCTTAGACGTTAAATATTTAGACTAAATGATATAGTGCTTTATTTAGTGCCTAGTAACTTTTTATTGTTTACGTATTAGATTAATATGCTTAACTAATATAAATATTCTGTAAAGTGGTTGGAATAATATTAAAGCTGAGACCCATGGGTATACTATCCAGTACACAGAAAATGTTAAAATGATATCACATCACATCTTATTTTGTGAGTTTTTTAAAAGAAATCCTCAGTTTAGAATTGTCATCAAAGGTCTTTTTCACATCAAGCATCATATATCTTTGTGGTATATAGCTTAGAGATTCTTCCCTGTTGATCTCACTTCAGGTTATTGCAATACCTTTCCCAGTGTCGCTTTCCTACTGTTTTGGTGGAAGCTAATCAATTGACTTATGTCGATTGCCAGGGCTTCGTTTAGGTAACTCCCATACATAATATTCAGGCTATTAACTTGGCAATATATTCAAAACATAACAGTGCAGCTGTATCGCAAAGATTTTATGTTTTATGTGAAAAGGCATATTAAACTCTTGGAAGTCTGTGTGTCAGAATGCTTGTCAAAATTATACACATCCATCCCTTTTAAAGAATATTTCATTTTTGTTGGGTATTCATTTTCAAGAAATAAGTAACATTTGCTTTTCTCGTTGCTGTATGAAATATATAGATTAAAATGCTGTCAGTTTGTATTTTAGATCAGTTAGCAATAAAATTCAACTTTCCTCACCAAAATATTGTTTGTAGAATGTGATTTTTATGTATAGCCGTCACCTGTGTCTGTCGTTGCTGCAATCGTCGCTCTGTACTTTCACCAATAACACCATAAGTGAAAAACCATTTTACCTTTTGGCTTGAACTGATTAATATTCATTATACTCAGGTCAAGTTAAAAAATCGGCATGATCGGGACATTTTCTAAAAAGTTATGATGTTTTTTCACTTTTTTCAGCATATATGCAACACCGATAACATGATAAGTGGAAAACCATTTTATAAACCTCTTGGCTTGAAACTGACAGAATTGATGAATATTTATAATAAGCAGGTCGAGTTTGAAAATCGGCATGATCGGGCCATTTTTTCCAGTGTTATGCTGTTTTTTTTTTTTTTTTTTTTTTTGCGTTTTTTGGCATATATGCGACACAAATAACAGATTTTAAGGAAAACCATGGGCCTATTGTCTTGAAACCCACAGGTGTGTTCAATTTTACTAAGATACAGGTTGAGTTAGAAAATCAGCATGATCGGGCCATTTTTTAAAAAAAAAATTTTCCGCTTTTTTCAGCATATATGCAACATTGATAACGCATTTCGAGGAAAACTGATTTTGTCTTGAAATCTATAGGAGTGATTTTCTAAGTGTGTACTTGAACTTACATGGGCCTGAAGCCTTATGCTTTTACTTTCATCGGTATAGCCTGTTGTGCATAATTAAAATTTAATGTTGACTTTGCAGTGAAGCATATTGTATTATTGCATCAGAATTGACAGTATCCTATTATGTGCATTATTATTTTCTGCTTTTTGTCTGTACATTTGACAGCTTTGCTGCCATTTTTTCAGTGAAACCAGAGACCTGAAAATATTCTATTTGATCAGCAGAATTAGTACGAGTTCTGTTTAACCATTAGCGGGACAAAAAAAAAAAAAAAAAAAAAAAAACATGCATCTTGCTAAGGTGGATAAATAAGTCCATACCTATAAATGACGTGCTTTGATTTAATATTTTGTAACATTGTCTGCCAGACTTTCGCCAGTTAAGATGAAAACATCCAGGACATTTGATAAATGCGCAAAAAGCATTATCTTTTGTTCGATTATCCTTTTTGTGGCAGCATTCTTCATAGGTATTTTGATTTTTGAGACTGCAATTGACTTCTAGCGGTAGCGAGATTTGTAAATATTTAAAACGTGAAAAATGCATAAACTCTTGGAGATCTTGTGTCAGAATGCTCAAATTATACACATCCTCAGTTTAGAATTGTCAACAAAGGTCTTTTCACACCAAGTATCATATATCTTTGTGGTATAGCTTAGAGATTCTTCCCTGTTGATCACACTTCAGGTTATTGCAATCCCTTTCCCAGTGTCGCTTTCCTGCTGTTTTATTGGAAGTTGATAAATTGACTTATGTCGAGCGCCAGGGCTTCGTTAAGGTCAACCCGTACATAATATTCAGGCTATAAACCTGACAATCTATTCAAAACATAGCTTCGTTTGGGTCAACCCTTACATAATATTCAGGCTATTAACTTGACAATCTATTCAAAACATAAAAGTACAGCTGTATTGCAAAGATTTAATGTTTCGTGTGATTTTTTTCAGTGAAAACCAGAGACCTGAAAATATTCTATTTGATCAGTAGAATTAGTACGAGTTCTGTTTAACCATTGGTGGGACAAAAAACAAAACACCAAAAATAATTATGCAATTCTGCATACTAAGGTGAATAAATAGGTCCATACCTATAAATTACGTGCTTAGCTTTTATATTTTGTAACATTGTCTGCCAGACTTTCGCCAGTCAAGATGAAAACATCCAGGACATTGGATAAATGTGCAAAAGGCATTATCTTTTTGTCGATGATCCTTTTTCTGGCAGCGTTCTTCATAGGTATTTTGATTTGCGCAACTGTAATTTACTTCTAGTGGTAGCGAGATTTGTAAATAATTACCATATGTGAAGAATTGCGGAAGAATTACATTCGAAAAGGACCCGTGCTAACGTCAAAGATCTAAATCAACAAATATTGGTTGGGGGATCGGAATCAAAGATTTTTTTTGAGAACGCAATGGGTTGTCTTTTCGCTTCCTTTTAGGTACTTACGGCGTAATATAGTTCAATGAGTAATTTATGGACGGTTTTCGTTATACAATTTATGCCTCAGATTGAAAAGTGATAGGGAATCTGTTATGTTTTTAATGTAGGTTTGGCGTTCCATGGAAGGGAATTATTCATACCATGCAAGGTAAGAACATTTTCTTCAGACAAGATTAGGTTACCTGCCAGTCATGAAAAGCTAATTTTAAAATGAAATTATAATAACAAACTCGTGTAACTGTGTTAATTATTTGTCGAAATAAAGCAAAAGTAATTAAATTATGAAACGAGGGTATTCCAAGGTGAAATATTTCGTTTATCTTCCTTTTCAAATAATTCATTAATACTTAAAGGGATAATAACTCTTCGTTTCTGCCAAAAAATGAATTTTCCTGGAGTAAACAACAATTTTCCCATACTTACCTATGGTTAATGAATCCATTTTACATTCAAAGTTAGTCCCTGTTTTTTTTCTAAAAAGTTTGGTTTTTTGTTAAAATCTCTTAAGTGATTATAACAGAGTATAGCCATCAATGGAGGTCACATGGTCTAAAGACAAGCTCAGATATCAGAATAATAGCTATAACTGCCGTTTTTGTGGTAAAACAGAATATATTATATTTCTATGAGTTATTCACAATGTTTTTATTGCGAAATATAGATCTCATACGAAGAGTTATTATCCCTTTAACATTGAACGGTTACTTCTTTTCCAAAAAATTATCGTCTCTTGATTATTGATTTCAGGCTCACTTCCAGTCAAGTTAGGGCGGCTTTACTTAAGCCTATATGACATTGGCCATGCCATGTGCGTGCGGTGCCAATATATCCCTTTTTATTGGATACACGGTCACTGTAGGCTTTATGAAGCTGTCACGCTTAAACTTTTGACAAACTCCTTTTTGTTCCAGCCACTACGATTGTATATTAAATAAGTGACGCGCAGTTTGATTTACGTTATCAAAATTACAGTTTGAAATTGTTTTCACACGCACCTACTAGTCCGTATTTAATTTGGCATTCCTAAATTGACTGAAAATGAGGCAAATTTATGCCTTAGGTCTTTAAAGAAAGTACGGGGAACCCATATCAGTTGCCAAAGAAATTTTTGGCACTATGCTAGGCAAAACAACAAAACTTCAAAAGAGCATTTTCTTACGTGAATCATTTATACCATTACACAAAACATATTCTCTTAAAGGTGTCTGGGCAAGATGGAGGCAACGTCCAACCCATAATGACGGACGAATGGATCAGAACCATTGCATTCAGAAAACAGCGTGTAAAATGGGCATGTCAAAAACATGGAACAGGTGCTCGATCGCTGAAAGACCCACCTTTGAGTGAGGAGAAGAAATATATCTGGGTGAGCGACGCCTTGCAGCTCGTCTTTTGCGAAGTCCCAAAGGCGGCAAGTACAAGTTGGAAAAAGTCCATATTACAAGCCCTTGGAGTTTATAGGGAGATATCATCCCTTAATGTTCATGCTTTCGACTTTCCAAAGTACCTGCGCCGGCTTGACACATATTCTACAAACGAAACGGAGTATCGTTTGAAGAACTATCTCAAGTTTTTTGTTCTCCGACATCCTGCAGACAGACTGGTGTCTGCTTACAGATCCAAAATCGAGGTGTGGTGGCCCGGGAAACCCAGGGCTCTTGCAACCGTTGGGAATTACGTAAGAAAGCATTACCAGAACTTGCCAGAAATCTACCCCACGGACGTTCCATTTAATGATTCTGAACTGGTCAGGTACATTGAAGAAAAGAACAAAACTGGGGAAGAATTGTGGCGCAATAGCCATGTATCTAATGTCACATTTCGCGATTTCATACGTTACATTGGCGACCATCCGGTGACTACAGATAAACACTGGACTCCTGCATCACGTCTGTGTCACCCGTGCTTTATTGACTACGACGTCGTCGCGTACGCTGAAACGTTGACGACTGATGCGGCCAACATTCTTCAACTCATCGAAGCCGACACCACTTTGAAATTTCCTGACAGCAACAGACAACCATGCCCTCAATGCTTGAGAACGTCAAAAATGTTCGAACCTGTCTCAGAAGAAGAAATGAGTCGCATAAGGGAGATATACGAATTGGACTGGGCGATGCGTGTAGGAGAAACAGATATTGAAAAATCACCTTGATATTTTCGAGATTTATTGAGCACACAGTGTTATTGTTGCGAAACGCGGTGTATGGCCGCAAATGAACTCCAGGCCAAGAGAACGTTAAAGAATTATGTGATGTCTAATAGTTTTTTGTCGGATTATGCTGATCGTGGGGATCGCACTGTTCACATTAGCCCTGGGTTCTTTGTCTCGTCACTTTATAACTTTTGACTTCTTTTATTAGAGCAATATGGACATGCAAGTTCATTTATAAAATGTTTGAAAAGATAACAACTTGATAGTTTTTAATGACGGTTAGCAGCATTAGAAACATTGAAAACTCATTTCTGCATATATGTCCTTGTATACATTGGTTCCAGCGCATTATAAAATATGTTCTTACTAGTACGTGTTTGTCATAGTTTTCTGTTTATTCAGTTGTTTACAGTGCAACTATTTGACCAGCAACACCAAGGCAAATAAAACTGACAAAAACATGTATGTCATGCTTAAGGTCTTAGAAATAAGTACGACCAGTGGTCGTCTGAGGTTTTGTGCTTCGCTCAGAATGCTCAAACATGGAAAGTCAACCTAGCCCTCGCAATTCTTTTTTTTTTTTTTTTTTTTTTTTTGCCGCGAAGTGAATCACATACGACTGAAATAAAGGTTACAAAGGCACACATCTGTAGCAGGCATCATATTGTACTCTCCTACTTTATTAATTCTACTCCTAACTCGTGGAGCAAAAAACACACCATCTGTTTTTATACAGCACTTGACACGAGAGTCACTGGCACAGTCGCCTGCGGACGAGACCACGGGCTTGTGAAGAGGTGCATATTCCAAAATCGTCAGGTAAAATTTAACCATAATGGTTATATTATTTATTATATACTGGTATTTTGATATCCTTTTGCTTTAACTAAAGCACTATATTTAATTCATACAGTGCCTTTGGCACGGCAAGAAGTTGTACAACTTCTTGGCCACGGCAAATATAGATCGGGGTTACTAGAAATGCCGACAAGTCTAACACCTTTAAATCTCTTAGAAAGCAGCAAAGGTAACCATCAAAAATATTAATTTTACTACTTGGAGAAACATTGTGGAGTTCGATATAGAAGTGTGCGTAAATGAAATAAATCAAATAAGTTAATTTTGTTCTCTTTCTGCATGAATAAAATTTGTCAGATTTTCATTCGTCACTGGACACAAATTTCTAATGCCAAATCCATGGGTTGTTCTTTGAACCTAATGATATGATATTATGTTGAACAACGCATAAAGATCTAAATTTCAAAAATATGGTTCTTCAGATTAAGGTAATGCACACCTTCTCGGTCAAAGACAATGCTAAAACATTAGTTCCCCAAACAGAACAGAACATAGCCTCGCGTAGATTTTCTGATACCAAACGGAAACAACTCGCAATGGTTATGAATTTGATATTTTTTTAGATAACGTGTCACTACCATGCCAACCCCAGGCGAGAAGGCTGATTTGAGCGCTGTGGCTCAGTTTGACAAGTCGAAATTGAAGAAAACGGAAACCAAGGAGAAAAACACGTTGCCTGACAAAGAAAGTAAGTCAGTTATGCTTAAAAAAAAAGCGGGAATTGCGATTTTTAAAGCTGGATGAAAATCGTTACATTCTTGTTGCAAGTGAATGGAAAAGCCGAGGATTATCAGTAATTCTGATCAGACATATGACAGTTATATCTACACCAATATATCTAATTTGATCAATTTCTGAATATGCTATAGACGTAGAGAAATGTCCTTTTATCTATACATGCCAAATGCTGATACAAAATGTCGACTTAAACAAGCCTTTTTTTATCAGCAATCCAGCAAGAGAAATCCCAAGCAACCCAATCCAAGGGAACCCAAAAATGAGGAAATGGATGAAATGTGGAATTTTTAAAGACGAAGATGCTTAAGTTATCTGTGAGTGAAGAACGCGTGTATCTGTCTGAAAGA